TGATTATATCTCAATAAAGCCATTACAAGAACTGGATGTAACCCAGTAGTAGAGCTATTTTTTAACATGCAAGAGCCCTGGGTTCTATTCCCAGAACCACCAAACAAACAAGCAAACAAACAAAACATATAGCTATAAAGCTGTTACATCACACACACACACACACAYATACACACATACAGGGCAAATATCATGCCTCTGCTTAAAAAAATAAAAACAACAATAGAATTTCATACCAGAATCAAGAAATAAATAAATAAATAAATAGAAATAAAAGAAGCCTCCAAGAAAGCTGGGTATGATGGCACACACCTGTAATTCCAGCAATTCAGGAGGTTAAGGCAGGAAGATCACAAATTCAAGTCCAGCCTAGCATATTAGCAAAATCTTGTCTCAAAATAATAAATAAGGCCAGGTGCAGTGGTGCACACTTGTAATCCCAGTGGCTTGAGAGGCTGGGGCAGGAGGATCACCAGTTCAAAGCTAGACTCAGCAATTTAGCGAGGCACTAAGCAACTCAGTGACCTTCTCTCTAAATAAAATATAAAATAGGGCTGTGGATATGGCTCAGTGGTCAAATGCCCCTGGGTTCAATCTCCAGTAAGCCCCCTCCAAAAAAAACAAATAAATAAATAAAAAGAGCTGGGGATCCAGGATTGGTGGCACATGCCTGTAATCTCAGCAGCTCAGAAGGCTGAGGCAGGAGGATCACGAATTCAAAGCTAGCCTCAGCAAAGGCCAGACACTAAGYGACTCAGTGAGACCCTGTCTCTAAATAAAACACAAAATAGGGTTGGGGACGTGGCTCAGTAGTTGAGTGTCCCTGAGTTCAATCTCTGATATCCCCCCAAAAAACACAACTAAACAACAACAACAACAAAAGGGCTGGGAATATAATTCAGTGCTAATGTGCTCTGGGTCTAATCCCCAGTACAAAAAAATAAAAAAGAAGGCTCTAAGGGGGCTGGGGATATAGCTCAGTTGATAGAGTGCTTGCCTCACATGCACAGGGCCCTGGGTTCAATCCCTAGCACCAAAAAACAAACAAACAAACAACAACAACAAAAAAAGAACGCTCTAAGAACCCAGCATATTACACAGTGCAAGAAAGAAGGTATATACTAAGGCACATTATGTGAAAATACAGGTTGGAGGTAGAGTTCAGTGGTAGAGTGCTTGCCTAGCATATAGAAGGCCCTGAGTTCAGTCCCCAGCACCTACACCTCCCCTGCAAAAAAAAAAAAAAGAACAGGAGAAAAATAAAATCCTAATAAAATCCTAGTTGGAATAAAAATAGCATAAGAAGGCTGGGGATATAGCTCAATTGGTAGAGTGCTTGCCTTGCATGCACAAGGCCCTAAGTTCAATCCCCAGCACCACAATCAATCAATTAACCAATCAATCAAAATAGCCTAAGATTTCTTTTTTTTTTTTTTTGGGGGGGGGGTACCAGGGACTGAACTCAGGGGCACTCAACCATTGATCCATATCCCCAGCCCTATTTCATATTTTATTTAGAAACAGGGTCTCACTGAGTTGCTTAGTGCCTTGCTTTTGCTGAGGCTGGCTTTGAACTTGCAATCCTCCTGTCTCAGCCTCCTGTGCCGCTGGGATTATATGTGTGTGCCACCAAGCCCGGCCGAGATATTAACAATAACCCTGTAAGTAAATACTGTCATACTCAATCAACATAAGAGGAGCCCCTGAATCTCAATTCTCTTTTTGATACTAGAGATTGAACCCAGTGGTGCTTTACCACTGCGCTACATCCCTATTCCTTTTCATTTTTGAGACAGGGTCTTGCTAAATTGCTGAGATTGGCCTTGGACTTGTGATCCTCCTGCCTCAGCCTCCTGAAACACTGGAATTATAGGCATGTGCCACTCCTCCCAGCAGGGCTGAGTCTCCAAAAGCTTAAGCAACTTGTCCATAACTGCACAGCTGGTAAGAGGCAGAGCCAAGATTCAAATTCAGATTCATCTGACCCTAAAGTTTCTCTAATCACTATGTCATATCTGCCCTCAGGGGCAGTCTCTGGAGAACCCAAATCCACCTTACCTCTTCCACATCTTCATCCAACTGCTCATTTGGATCCACTTCTCTTACTAAGTCCTGTAATTTCTTCTTGGTCAATACCTAAAGTTAATTGTGAGGAGATTCTTCAGTGAGTAAGGAAGCAAAATAACTTGTAATCCCATACTGAAGAAAGGCTGTCAGTTTGTTGGGTTTAGTTTCCTTTCCAATGAGTTCAATATGGCCCACTGGTGGTACTGCTACCAAACTACACTTCCAAGACAGAAGTAGTCCAGGGAAAGACAGAAAGAGTAGTTTGGAAAAGAGGTCAGCATCCAATTGTCAGGCAGTTTATTTCAACCTTAACTCTTTTTCTTTTCCCATTATGCCTCACCTCTCTCTATATTAAGCAATTTCTAGTTCTCTGAACACCACAAATTGCACCCCTTATACCATTACCTTTAGACATGCTCTTCCTCCTTTTTTCCTATATGCTCAGCTCTCGGCACTCTATTTTTTTTCTTTTTGGTAGTGGGATCAATCCCAGAAGCACTTTACCACTTAGCTACACATGCAGCTCTTTTCAATTTTTTATTTTGARACAGGAGCTCATCAAGTTTCCAAGGCTGGCCTTGCTTTCCATCCTCCTGACTCAAGCCTCCTGAGTCACTGGAATTACTGGCATGAGCCACTGCACCAGTTCAATGAGACTCTTTTCTGATGCCTTTCTGATGCAGGTAAGCACAACCACTTGTAATCTTTTCTATCCTCTGTGTACCCTTCTATCTTATGTATATTTATAAATTTGCCTGTGATCTGACTTAACAGGTTAAAAATTCTATGAGGGGCGGGAACTTGTATTATCTATAACAAAATATATTAAATATGTATAGCTACCTCCCTTTTTCATAAATAGTGTTATATTACATATATACACCATTAAAAAGTGATCAAGGTGGAAGCTGGGGATKTCTCTCAGTGATACAATGTATGACTAGCATGTGTGAGGCCCGTGGGTTTAATCCCCAGCACTGTAGTAATGATAATAATAATAGACGCAGCAACAATACATAAATACTGGTTAATGATGTCTCAGATTTATCCATTCTTCTCCATTTTACCATTATTACTTAATTCAAGTCTTTTTTTTTWAAGAATTTTTTTAATATTTATTTTTCAGTTTTCGGTGGATACCTTTATTTTATTTTATGTGGTGCTGAGGATCRAACCCAGCGCCCTGCGCATGCCAGGCGAGCACGTTAGCGCTTGAGCCACATCCCCAGCCCCAAGTCTTTTTTTAATATTTATTTTTTTAGTTGTAATTGAACACAATATCTCTAATTTTATTTATTTATGTGGTGCTAAAGATCAAACCCAGGGCCTCTCACATGCGAGGTGAGTGCTCTACCACTGAGCCATAACCCCAGCCCCTAATTCAAGTCTTTATCATGTCTTAATTTATTTCAAATCTTAGAATTGATCTTCTTTCCACTTTATCCCTCTTTCCTACCCCTTTATTTCCTTACTGCCAAGTTAATCCTTCCTAAGGTATACTACTTTTATTATGTTAATGTTACTCTCTATTAAATATTAAATATCTGCAAAGATTGTCTATTACCTAAAAGGCCTACTATGTTCTGCTGTAGTCCTACTTTATAGTTTTATTTCTTGCTCTTTCCAACAGACCATATACTTAAAAAACATATTTGTTGCACCAGGCATGGGTGGGACATGCCTGTAATCCAAGCAACTCAGGAGGCTGACCCAGGAGGATCCCAAGTTGAAGCCAATCTTAGCAACTAAGCAAGGCCCTTACAACTTAAGAGAGACTTTGTCTCAAAATGAAAAATAAAAGGACTGGGGATAAGTGCTCAGTGGTAAAACACATTGGGTTCAATCCCCAGTACCAAAAATACATGTTTATCTCCTTATTGTCTACCCAACTCTCCCCCATTTACCTTACTAGTCCCTCCACCCATTCCCTTGAAATGTCTCCTCATCCATTCTGCTCAGCCTATAAGATCCAAGCCAAGGCATTATACTTATTTCTTATTTCTAGATAGTAGAATCAGGATCACAGCTAGAAAGGGAAACAGATTTTT